GCCCTGTGAACTTCCCTGCAGTCTTGTTTATATGGGCATAGTTAGCACTACCTCGGCAATGTTGGCCCGCCTCTATATTGGCGGACTCTCTCTGTAATGCCAGGTTGCCTCGGCAACGGCAGGCAGCCTCAGCAATGGTGGGTTGCCTTAGCAACAGCAGGCTGCCTCAGCAATGGCGGACTAGCTCCTTGTTGGTGGAGTGCCTCGGTAATGGCGGACGACCCACCCCCACAGAGCTGGACCGTCCCGGATTCAGCTGTGCTTGCTGTGAAACTCTCAATCCAGAGAGTTTCTGATTGCTGTTCTTTTGTGGGGGTGGGACCAGCCGAGCCTGATCACCTGGCTCCCTGCCTCAGAGCCATTTTTTTTTTCTTTTTCTTTTTATCCCAGGTGTTCCAGTCGCCTGTTGAATGGGCTCCGGGATCTGTTTCCCGTGTGGCGACCTACTGTGCCGGCTTAAACAGCAGCTTTGAGATTCATGGCGCTTTTTTTGCTCAGGAATGTCCTGGCCTGGCTCCCTGTTCAGTCCCCTCTTTAAACAGATGAATGTGCGGCTTCCCAAGGCTCCAATCACCAGCCAAAAGGGCACCCGGACCAGTGTATTTTGTATGGAAAACCGCCGGCCCGGGCCGCCGACAAAGCAGCTGCGCGGTGCAAAGCAGCCCCACCAACCGAAAGAACCGCGCCGGCCAAAACAGCCTCGCTGGTGACTCGTGGGTCTCCTCTGCCTGGGAATCTCCTGGTCCGTGGGCTTTAAAAATGTGGCATCCACTCACCCTCTGTGCTTTCACTGGGAGCTGCAACTCCAAGCTGTTCCTAAACGGCCATCTTGGATCGAACCCCATTGGGCTTTTTTAAATAACTTCATGAAGTTTATACAGCTCCCATTGTCTTCTGTCTCATTAAATGACAACTCCATTCTTTATATTGCTCAAGCCGAAGGTACTGGTGGCTTTGTCTTTCCTTGATGCCTCTCTTTATTCACAGCTCACATCCAGTATATCAGCAGATCCTATCAGCTGTACCTTCAGATACATCATGTGTCAGATTCTTATCAACCTTCTATAATTTTTGCCTTTTAACTTTTATTTAATTTCCCAAGAAATTCTGCAGTAGTACTCAGTAGTTTAAGCTGATTGTATATTGATGGAACCTTAGAGATTTTCTTATTTTAATTTCTTTGCAGATGAATAAAGATACACATACACCCTACACATAAAACAAATTATGTGATATGTATAGGTCCTACTGTTAGTATAGGATACTATACTATATAATGTAGTATATTCTCTTGTGCCTATAAAGCACACTAGTCTGCTATGTAGTTTTCATAGTGGTAATGTAATTAGATCTTTTGTCAAAACATTTATGTAATTTTTTTTTACAAACTTCCTGTGAGCCATCAGAATGTCTTTCAACAATTTTTATTTAAATTTCTGATTGAGGTATTTGTATTAAGCAATTAATGACTAGTTACATAAGTTGTGATATGTCATTTCACTTGATCCTGTCTAAATTAAACTTTCAGTACTTAGTAGGACTCTGCTTTTTGTAAAATGTATTTTGTTTGCCCTAGTGACACAGCATTGTCCTGTGTTTCCAGGAGCATGGTCTTTCATTAACAAAATTTGCTTAAACTTTTAGTGTAATAATCCCAAAACAAAAGAACCCAAACTAAAGGCTGCTGCCAGAATTGTCCCAGAATGGGTGGAGTATGATGCTGAGATAAGACAACTATTGGATCATCTTGAAAACAAGAAGAAAGATGCAAGTAAGTCATTGACTGTTGTGATGTCTGAACCCTATGTTGCATTAATGAGATTAGGATAGACTACAGACTCATTTCTTAATGAAGTTATCAGATGATTAAGAATTTCTTTTTAAAAGTCTGTGGCATAATTTAAAGATGTATTTTTGTGTAGAGTAAGCTTACAAGTTTAAAGCATAGATAATCTGTTTCCCCATGGATACAGCTTCAGCTGATATCTCTATATAGATAGGTTGTATAACATTAGTTTCCTGACACAAGATGGAAATGGAAAATAAAGTAAAAGGAGTGTTTGTCTCTAAGATTACACTGTATTTCCTAAATGTGGAAATTTCAGCAAGTCCAAAAATTAATAAAAGCCTTACATAGCTAGCTAAAAATGTCACTTTCTATCTCTGAAGTTAATCTCATATATAACACAGGTTTCCCCAGGTGTTCATGGTTCTAGCATGGTCTGGAGAATGACCTGGATTGAATTTGCTTCCATTTCTTTTATGAAAAAAAGAGTGATTACCTTGGTGTTTCATTGCCCTACATAAGTGTTCAACAAATGTGCTGAATTTGTTTTTTGAAGCTGATACAAACTTCTTGATTGCCTCTTAATTGTCTTTCCCTATCATTTTTGCTTGTGTCTCCCTATTCTCTTTTTAAAAGCACCCTGAACTCCTGTTGTGTTCTGGTCAGTGTGTTAGAGACTTTTGCTGGATTATATTTGCTAATACTCTCAATAGTTCTTCCCAGTGGTTCAGAATACAGTTCTCATTTTCCTCAGCTTTACTGTTTAAGGAAGCCAGAATGATTATGTATAAACTTTCTCATATAAACCTGAAATTGTTTCATCTTGACTTATTGTTTTCCTTTAAAAAAAAGTTTTCTTGGTGTGTCTGAAAAGTTCATTATTTATAAGACACCTATGTATATATAATAATTTAGTGTGGCTAAAGGTATCATTTCAGTTCAGAAGGAAGAAATTATTCTGTAAGTTGTATGATATAATTCCTTTTAAAGGTAGAGAAACAGGATGACAAAGGAAGGAGGGAGAAAAGGAGAGAAAGCAAAAAGAAGAAAGGAAAATCACCTCAGCAAAAAACATTTTTTCTTATATATAAGTGTGTCTTATCAAATAAAGAGTTCACAGGTCAATAATAATGAGCATTAGTGAGAATGTTGGAAAGTTAGCATTTTTATATAAGTATACATATAGCAGCTTATGTAAGTTAAGGAAATTTTATATGTATAAAAACTTAAAATTTATATACATTTTGACCCAGCAGTTCACTTCAGGACACTTACTTAAAAAAGAAAAATGATGTGTATATTGGTATGTTTATTATGGCATCATTTTTAACAATGAAATAGAAATCTGTCCATCAATAGACAATTGGTTACATAAACATTGATACAAACAATGGAATATACTGTAGCCTTTCAAGAGAAACAAGGTAAATTTATATTTTTAAGTTAAAAAATAGGTTATGAAGCAATATTTATAATACAATTGATCTCATTTCCATTAAAGAAAAATCATAGGTCTGTATGTTTGTGTATCTATATGGATATAAATAAGAAAGAGGAGTTTTACAAAAGAGATTGTTTTTAACTTAATTTTTAATTACAAATGTAAGATGTATATTTTAAACATTACAACAACATGAAAGTATAAGAATAAAATTGGAAGTCCTCTTTTACTTACTCAAACCTAGAGAAGCAATCATATTTGAGGATTTTTAACCATAATAAGTTTGATGCCCAGTGCACACAGCATGTCAATATGCTGAGACACTGGGTTGCCGCAGAGAAAGAGGTTTAATCATAGGACTGCCAAATGAGGAAACAGAAAGAAAACTCAAGTCTGTGTCTCTGAGCAGTTTGAGACTAGTGATTTTTAAGGGTTTTGGAGGGGGCCAAAGTATGAAGAGCATTGATTGGTCGAAGAGTGCAGAGCAAAGTCATAGTATAGGGAGATGAAGAAACTATATTCTCATGCTGAATTGATTACTTTGTGGGGGTCTTCAGACTGGTTGGTGTCAGCTGTTCTGCTGGAACCCAGAATCTGCTTAGGCAATTCTTAAAAGCTTTATGCTTCTGATATCAGAAATCCTATATACAAGAATAGTGAGGATGCAAATGGTCAGTATCTAGTGCTAAGTAACTTTCAGTTGCAAGGAAGTGGCTCAAAGTGCTGCCTGATTTATAATTAACCAAATTTCTGTCCAGAATTCTTGTTTAACTCTATAAGGATGGCTTCCGATGTGGTGTATTATATTACAAATATAAATATACATTGCAGGTACATCGACAGACACCAAAACTTTACACTTTTTGCAAAATATCTATTTGTCTTATATTAAAAATGCAGCTTTTATGTGGGTGCAGGATTACAATAAGAAAGGCGTACCTGTAGACTAACATAATTCAATAAAAATGTCATTATGTGACAACTTAAAGCAAAAGTAGATGTAGGATCTAAAGCTGGAGAATTTAATGTCAGCAAAGAATGGTTTGATAATGTTAGGAAGGTTTGGATTTTAAAAGTCAAGATAATAGGAAAAGCAGCCTCTGCCAACCAAGAGGCAGCAGACAAGTTCCCAGATGCCATTAAGAAAATCACCTGAGCAGCTCAGGTGGCAAGAGGAGTGGCAGCAGCCAAACAGCCCACCTTTGGTAAGGGTCTCAGTGTGCTGCAGGTTGCAGGCGCTTGGCACACACCCTCCCTGCTGCCAGGATGCCAAGAGGAAGGTCAGTTCCACTGAAGGGGCAGCAAAGGAAGAGCCCAAGAGAGGAGATCTGTGCACTTGTCAGCTAAACCTGCCCTTGCAAAAGTGGAAACGAAGCCAGAAAAGGCAGCAGAAAAGGATATATCTTCAGACAGAAACGTCCAAACAAAAAGGAAAGGAGGAGCAAAGGGAAAACAGACTGAAGTGGCTAATCATGAAAGTAAAGATTTGCTTGCATAAAATGGAGAAACTGAAACCAAGGAGAGTTCAGCCTCCAATGAAGATGAAGAGAAAGAAGCTAAGTCTGATTAATATCATATACCATGTCTTATCAGTGGTTCCTGTCTCCCTTCTTGTACAATCCAGAGGAATATTTTTATCAACTATTTTGTATGCAAGTTTTTAGTAGCTCTAGAAACATTTTTAAGAAGGAGGAAATATCACCTCATCCCATTTTTTAAATGTAAATGGCCTTTTTTAAACAGGTGAAATCATTCACTGGTTATTTTTAGTTATAACCAGAAAATAGTGTGGGATATTGAATTATGGAAGGCTTTGACTATCTTAGGTGTCAGGTTAACATTCCATAGATTGGGGGTTAGTTTTTATATCCTATGATAGAAAGCCAACTAAACAGCAGTATGGAGTCACAGACCTGTACTGAATGTCTTGAACATTTTAAATTACTTTTTTTTTTTTGTACTTTAAGTTCTGGGATACATGTGCAGAACATGCCAGTTTGTTACATAGTTATACACATGCCGTGGTGGTTGACTGCATTCATCACCCCGTCATCTACATTAGGTATTTCTCCTAATGCTATCATGAAGTCATGAAGTCCTTGCCTATGCCTGTATCCTGAATGGTATTGCCTAGGTTTTCTTTTAGGGTTTTTGTGGTTTTAGGTCTTAGGTTTAAATCTTTAATCTGTCTAGAATTGATTTTTTTATAAGATGTAAGGAAGGGATCCAGTTTCAGCTTTCTGCATATCGCTAGCCAGTTTTCCCAACACCATTTATTAAATAGGGAATCCTTTCCCCATTTCTTGTTTTTGTCAGCTTTGTCAAAGATCAGATGGCGGTAGATGTGTGGCATAATTTCTGAGGCCTCTGTTCTGTTCCATTGGTCTATATCTCTGTTTTGGTAGCATTACCATGCTGTTTTGATTACTGGAGCATTGTAGTATAGTCTGAAGTCAGGTAGCGTGATGCCTCCAGCTTTGTTTTTTGGTTTGTGGTTTTTTGTTCCCCCCCGCTTAGGATTGTCTTAGCTATGTGAGCTCTTTTTTGCTCCTATGTGAAACTTAAGGTGTTTTTTTCCAATTCTGTGAAGAAAGTCAATGGTAGCTTGATGGGGGGTGGTGGGTGGTGGGGGATAGCATTGAATCTATAAATTACTTTGGACAGCATGGCCATTTTTACGATATTGATTCTTCCTAACTATGAGCATAGAATGTTTTCCATATGTTTGTATACTCTCTTATTTCCTTGAGCAGTGGTTTGTAGTTCTCCTTGAAGAGATCCTTCACATCCCTTGTTAGTTGTATTCCTAGGTATTGTATTCTCTCTGTAGGAATTGTGAATGGGAGTTCACTCATGATTTGGCTCTCTGTTTGTCTGTTATTTGTGTATAGGAATTCTTGTGATTTTTGCACATTGATTTTGTATCCTGAGACTTTGCTGAAGTTGCTTATCAGCTTAAGGAAATGTTGGACTGAGATGATGAGGTCTTATACAATTATGTCATCTGCAAATAGAGACAATTTGACTTCTTCTTTTCCTAATTGAATGCCCTTTATTTCTTTTTCTTGCCTGATTGCCCTGGCCAGAACTTACAATTATATGTTGAATAGGAGTAGTGAGAGAGGGAGGGCATCCTTGTTTGTGCCAGTTTTCAAAGGGAATGGTTCTAGTTTTTGCCCATTCAGTATGATATTGGCTGTGGGTTTGTCATAAGAGATCTTATTATTTTGAGATATGTACCATTGATAGCTAGTTTACTGAGAGTTTTTAGCATAAAGGGCTGTTGAATTTTGTCAGACACCTTCTCTGCATCTATTGAGATGATCATGTGGTTTTTGTCTTTGGTTCTGTTTATGTAATGGATTACATTTATTGATTTGCATATGTTGAACCAGCCTTGCATCCCAGGGATGAAGCTGACTTGATCATGACAGATAAGCTTTTAGATGTGCTGTTGGATTTGGTTTGCCAGTATTTTATTGAGGCTTTTCGTTTGGATGTTCATCAGAGATATTGGCCTGCAATTTTCTTTTTTAGTTGTGCT